CGCGCTGTTGCTCGGTTTGGAGCATGGCGGATGCGATGGCCATCTCGACCTCTCTCACACAAAGCAGGAGATTCTTTATATCCTTCCCCTCAAAGATCTTAAACATGAGCGGCTTAGGTCGGGGGAAGTCTTCCGTCACCGACGGTGGCGTCATAGACGCAAACGATGCAGACATCCATTGCTGCAGGTGCTCTCGCAGCGCGTTTTCGTAACTCGAAAACGCCTATAGACGCGCACCGATTGCCTCGGGACCTTGCTCTGCAAGGTGTTGCACGCCCTCAGGGCCAAGCAAGGACATCAGCTTGTTAAGCCCGTCCTGCATGCCCTGGGGCAAAGAGTAGAATTCCTCCATCCTCTCAGAGGATCAGTCGAAACGACTTAGGTTGAGACTGATTAACAAGTTCTACCAAGTGCAGCGGGGCTGCTGTAGCCAAGCGCTTGAGTAAGCGTACTTTAGGTCAGCGACCTTTCATTCTATACTTAGAACAAGTACGAATTAGCGGATCGCAATCCGCTTACTCCAAGTGTAATTATTGCTATACCCAAGGCTAATTGACTCTTCGGTTTAAAGTCAAAAGTGATTTTTAATTAGTTTTTATCCCAATTTTAAGAGGTTAGATTTTTTTCGATATACTAAAAAATATAGTAAAATCTAAATAATTCATATCTACTGGCTACCTAGCCCCGTACCGTATTCTTGTTTGGGTGTGGTCACACCATGCACGTCTCGTGCGACACATACATCCCTGTTATCATGGTTCGTGTAACCCGTTAAAGAAGTGGTCATTGAATGACCAGACGAGGAGATAAACTCGTCATCCATTCCGGATGAATCTGTCTTTAAGAACACCAAGAGAGTGCTGAACGCACGGAGTGGATCGTTGGATCCTACGGAGTCCCTTGGATCCGTACTATCCTTTGGTAAAAGAATGTCAAGACGTCGTCTCCGAAGACCCGCCTTCGCTCCTACCTCCGGACCGAGGTGTATCGACCTGGTTCTGAAAATCAAATACTGCGTAACACGCCAATTGCCCCTGCCCAAGGAGCAGTGCGATGTCATTGACGACTTTTTCCGTGCGGAGCACGACGCAGGGATGGTACTTGAGAGCAAGTCTCCCCATTCGACACCCACGTTTTGAGTTCGGAAGCCGAACGGCAAATAGCGTATCGCTCATGTTTACAATAAGCTCAACGCTGCCACCATTCTTCAAAACGACATGATGAGATGTACGACGTTATATGCACTTGACTTGGTCGATGGGTATTACTAATTGCTCATGAGAGCGAGTGATATTCCGCTAACAGCGGTGAGCACCCGAGCGGCATGCTCTGAGAGTGGCTGGTCATGCCCCAAGGGTTGTCGGATGCACCAGCAACATTTAATCGTCTTGTGGCGCAGTTGTTCAGGTTCCACCGGGTGCATGCACAGATATACGTTGACGACATTTTCGTTCATAGGCCTCCGAAGCGTCTTTCTCTCTCGTCATACTGGTAACAGGGGTATATAGCTGTGTGCTATCGTCTACGGTAGGAACAACCTGGGCCAGGGTCAACGCCCTGCGTCTTGCAGATAACATACGGCTTTGTCGTCTTCTCTCTGTAAAGGCTCTACGTCTCATCAAGACCAGTGGGAACACGCACTCGGCAGCATCCAGTGTCCCCAACCCCTGCTCCATTGGAGCCTTGATGTTATTAACAACATTCGACGAAGAGCTGCTATTTCCGCCGTCTTCGTCCAGTGGATAACGTGCCACTTCACGCGCATCGAAAGGGCCTCGTCTTTGATGCCTTAGACCTCGTCCGACCATGCCATTCTTGGCACGCAGCATCCGCTCCAGTACTTGAGCATCGCTCAGTGGGTTACGTGCCACTCCACCTCCAGCCCGCAAGCCACGTTCGGGTCTCCTGTCCAAAACATATTTGGTGTTTGACAACTCGGATACTCCGATGTCCAAAACATTGACCGTCCCAGTCCAGTGCCCGCGCCAATAGCGCTTCTGCTTCCTTGCAGAGGTGAGACGAAAGCTCCACTAAAGACGTCGCGTAGCGCCCAAGGTTTTTGGCCTCCAATTAATCCATGACTCATGGTGTTGCAACCATGCCAAGGGCAAAGTCATTCCTTGCATTCAATTCTAAAACTAGACAGCGTTCCACGCTATCAAAATTGTGGAATTTGACAACGAGGTCCACAGGGACCCTCGGCAGTGACACAAGTCCCCGTCGCTACGCGAACAGTGACGGTGTCACTCACCCGCGCTTTTAGCGCCTCAGCATACAGCTGACTTCCTTTGAGGGTGGAGTGTCGAGCATAATTGTTCGACGCACGAGAAACGATAAGGACTTTTCATGGCTTATCAAAGCCCTTCACGGTCGCTTTACGACCAACTAGCCCGGCTTGCACACACGTTCCGTACGCAGCTCTTCGGGGCTGGGCGCTGCTGCCCTCTACCGCTTTGAGGCTCAACGGATCTAGATCTCAGTTATTCCCCAGAAGGGTGCCTACTGGGTGTTCTCGTTTCCCCGCGAAAAACCAGACTGGAAAGAAGCGGGACGACGGTTCGATGAACCTTTACGCGCTTTGCGCAAGGGTCAACCAGTCCGGAGGTGACGGGTGTCTCCACAGACAAAAAAACGTCGGGCGTTCAAACGCTGCTCGGCAGCTCGAAGTTCTCCGTCCTCTTACTCAGCATAGCTGAGATCTATTGGCTCAGGCCCGCTCAATGAGCTCTGAGAGTGTGCATTCTAACCAAGTCGTGCCGACCTGAAGTTGAATTCGGCATTCAATGCCAAGTTCACCGCTTTTTTTAAAAGAAGACGGTTACACACGGGAGACTTCCATTCTGGCCACGCCAGTACGGAGGCCCTCCGTAAGATCGAAGCAGCACGATTTATGGGATCCCTGTGACAAAAAATCAATATGTTGGTAGTAGTAAATATTCTTACAAAAATTTTAAGGAATTGGGACTGCAGAAATAAGGACTATTATCAGAATATGTATGTTTACCACTTTCGACTATACACAGTGCAAAACTTGCGTATCTTGACCAATCAAAATGTAATAATTATTACTAAAAAACAACTAGCTATGGAATCCGTCGCTGAGCTTGAGCTCGCTGCTAACCGCGTGAACATGTGCCTTGGTGCAGAGCGGCAACTACTTGATCGCAATGCAAAGAAACGTCGTATTCCTGTCACTATCGTCACTGGTTTTCTAGGAGCAGGAAAGACGTCGCTTTTGTGGTACATTTTGCT